GTAATTTCGAAATTACTGTTTCAGAGCATAAAAGTCAAATCTCAAAAGCTTACGGACTAAAAAAGTGACTCATGGCAGTTGTAGATTTATTAAACCCCAAAGTGCTGCAGTAGTGATCGTTAGACGACGACGGAAAATATCTGATCGGACTGTTACCGCTGCTCGTTTTCATGGCTTTTTATTTGGCCCCAGACGATGAGTTTGTCCATGGAGTGGCGCCCTCGCCCCTGACTGATGAGGTTGTGCACGGGTTGCTTATTTAGAAACATTGATTGAAACAGTGCTTGTACAGCTGTGACTCCTAGGACTGCGTGGAGTTCCGTTTTTTGGGCGGTGTAGGGCACGTTCGCATTGTGTGAATACTGTCGCGACTTGTTGGCAAACAGAGGAACGGCCAGAAATCAGTGGAAAATAGTACGGAGTTCATCCGCGAAACCTGCAATTCCGTTCGACGTTGCAGCTAAAATGTAAATGAAAGGATTGACGCTGGGGATGCTCCAACTAATTGTCTAGGATTGTTACACAGTTATTCGTGTTCTTTTACATGACTGCTATGTGTTTCTTCTTTGTAATATTCAGAATCGGCTGGAAGGGAGAAAGGAGGCTGAGGCAGTGGAGGAAGGTTGGGAGAGACGGGGAGAAGGAGGGCTGAGGTTACGGGCCATACGAGGTCACGCAATTTAGCTCAAGGATGAAACAAAGACAGGTTACCAAGTCACTGTACATATAGGCTTGCTCATGTGGGTGATCTAAATGGCTTATCCAGTTTTTCATTAATTGTCAAAATTCGATTGTATTCCTCTCTACGGTAGGCCAACATCGCCAAACAAACTGCATATGTTAATACATAGAAGATTTCAGGCCCTCATTCTCTTCTAGTCTTCTTCCCAGAGATATTTATTGTTTGTACCTTTAAAATTTCTGAAACGCTTGCAAAGAGGATGAATAAATCCTTCATTGGATGAGTTAGTCTCGAAACATGCTCGCATTTGCATACTTATCCAAAACATCGTCAACTTTGCGCAAATCGCTCATTTTTTCTGTATGACCTGGTTTTGGGGAGGTCCATAGTCCGCTGAAGGCGAAATAGTCCATCAGCACGACACATTAGTATGGCATGTCGATCTGACATGTCGTTTTTCCATTTCCCCTCAAACTGCTGCTGTGGAGTTACGATTTTGCTAGGACTGTCCACGTGAGAGCATTGAAGTGGTTTTTCTGAAGTATGATTTTTGTCTGAGAAAGAATAAGTTAGTTTTTTTGCAGAAAGCGGTGTTTTTTTTGCTCAGTTTTACTGTTTGCTTCACTTGCCTCTAGAGAGTGGGAAAAAATTTTGGCCGAAGAAAAAAGTTTTTTTTTTGGAGGGAGGGGTTGGAGCCATGATTTGATTTTTGATTCGTTTACACATCTGCTACTGGTGATTATTCGAGCTTTCCTGATCATGTGCTTGTAATTCTAGCAAAAGGCACTATGTTGGAGCGAACTTATTGTTGTTTCAACCTGTGAAGCTAATATTGTCGTTTACCAAAGTATAGAGATTGCTGCAAAATGTAAAAAAAGTAGTCACAAATATGCATTCGTGTTTTGTCCTACTTTTATTGCTAACGGTTTTTGATGTGAGCGCCAGTTAGTAGTGCCCGCGACAAAATAAACGAACAGTTAGGGAACCCTCAAGAAGATGGCACACATCCATCGCCCGTAAGTACCGACTGGGGCTTTGCAGTCCAGGATCCAGGGGCATTGATTAGCCTTGTTTGGCATTTGGAAGCACTGCAGTGATAACACTAATGATCGACTTTATTATCAGATAGTACTGTTACACTTGGATTTTTATTTTCTGTCATAGTCATTTATTCGTGAATATTGTGCGTTTTTTGCTTATATGCAAATGCAAAAACTCATATTGGCAAGAGGCTATCTGTATGTGTGTATCTGTATGTTTGCCTGTCTGTGGGCACGCAGTTTCTGTCACCCACTTTCAACTCGAGAACCAGAAAAGCTAGAAGGTTGATATTTCGAGAACATGTACCCACTTCATGCGCAACTCTCTTATTTTAATATCGTCACCCGCGTACTCCTGCGTCCTACCTATGGGCGCCTTAAAAAATAAGTAAATTTGTTAACGGGGAAGCAGTCTCGAGAACCAGATACGATAAAGAGCTGAAAATTTGCGCGGATATTTTTTGTGCATGTATGAGCTAAATATTTCAAATTTAGCCCTTATATGTTCGTGCTTTTCAGGCACGGGCATGTGAGAGATTTAGCGGTAAAATTACTAATTCGGTAACCAGAAAAGCTGGAGGGCTGAAATTTTAAGAGGATGTTCCCTGACCATGTATGATTTAGAGATTTCAAATTCATCCTCCAGATGTATGTGGTACTCACGGCCACACTTGAAATTTCTGGCAGGAAAATTGCTAACTCGGTAACCAGAAAAGTTGAAAGACTGAAACTGAAGTCGTCCACGTACAACTCGAAGGTTTCAAATTCGGTTCTCAGGCACTCGTGGTTCTTACGTACAGGCTTATGAAGGTTCTGACAGGAAAATTAATAACGCAGGAGCCAGAAAAGCTGAAATCTTAGAGTAATCTTTCTTCGAGCACAGTTTAAAAATTTCAAATTCCACCTCCAGGTATGCGTACGGGCACTTAAAAGTTTTGGAGGGGGAAACTGCTCACTGGACAGATAGATAATCTTCAAAGAACAACGTTAACGGAAATTATTTCATTTATGCAAAATTTGCAAGATTAACAGTAATGAGCGCACAATGTGGGTGTAAAGCAACAACCATTCATGCAGTTAACGACCTGATTACTTCAAGTTTGATTCAAAAATGCGTTATTGCACCGGCTAGCCTGGTGCGTTTCAGCTATGATTTAGTGATAAATTGCTACGTTCAAGCGAACAGGCAGCAAAATGGAAAGGGGTGCTGTTTTGGTTAGAGAGTACTAAACAAGAGAGTCGGGATGGGCGGGAGAAAAGCATTTGTTTGAAACTGGCTCGGAGATTTTTATATAAAGGATGCATGAAAGGATCAAATAAAAATAACTTTGAAAGATAATCCGCTGACTGGATTGTGCTATTTAGATATTCGGAAGCAGTTTTGCCCAGACACGATGCATTGAATTTGATTTACAATTGCGAGCAATCAATGACGAGGAGATATTCGAGGTGCCACTTTTAAGTGCTCTCAGTTTGCTTTTTTAAGTTCTAACAGGCGCCACTAGCCATTGGTCCCTTTTATTGTGGTCAGCTTTTTTTCATGATTTGAACTTGCGGTTAGTTGGCTGATTTAGAGGCTTGAACGTAAACACAGTTTCAGTGCGTTAAATCTAAATTCCTTGTGTTCCTTCCACCCTCGATGTCACCTGTGAGGTTCGGTTTAATCGTTCCGTAGTTCTTGTTCTAAGAAAACAGACCCGGTTTAAAATGCGTTTTTATGCTTCGTCCCAACACTTTTGATATTCAAAGCATTCTGTTGGGCTCCTGCAAGATCAACAGGGCATAAATATTTCAGAAGGCTGCTTACTTATGTAAAAGTACGGGCTGTCAGGGATGATGAAAGTGCGTATATCGAGAAGGATTGTTACGAAGAGATGACTTTTCGACAGCGAGTTTTCCTAAAAGTTTAGAGGACGTTTGTTGTTTTGTGTAATTAAACAGCTGTCTCATCATTTTTTGAAATTCCGTATTAAATTCTATATCTCATGCATGTATATTTGTACATGCATATTTTCTGACTTATATGTGCATAT